GAACCAGACCCATCAGGAAACCAGGAGGAGGCAGAGCCAGTAATAGTCACCCAGTCCTTGTCCTTGAGAGTTGCGAGACATAAGAAAAGATTACAGCTGCCAGCCAACTGAGCAACTTGTTACCTGGCTGTGGCAGTTCTGGGATAGCAAGGCCAGTAGCATGGAACTAGAGGGCATGGAGGCGAGGCAGCTGGGATCTCTAAGGAAGGGGGCATTGACAAAGCCACTGGAAAGGAGACACAAAATCTTAGTCTCTGGAAGTGATTTCTGTCAAGTGTGAGGGAGAGGTATCCCTTCAAGGACAACTTGACATGTTGACCAAGTGGACCACTATGGAGAGAGACATTCAGTACTTGAGGGCGCTAGCTGTGCGGGAGGTAGTTTACTATGACCCAGGTAATGCACAGCTACCTACAGATCCAGATGAAGTCTGATGCACCCCGGCCCATGTGGAGGGGTTTTGTACGGAGCAGTTCCTCATCATATGCCAATGCATTAGTAGTAATGGACTGGACAGATGAAGAGACACCAACAGTGAATGAACTGGTTCGCCAACTACGACAATATGAAAAAAGTGTCTTTTCCCCCATCATTGTGGCTGTGAAACAATTATCTCAAGATGTCCAGCAACTTAGGGAGAACATGCCCTACTCTCCACCTGCATGGACCAGAATCTTGGCTATTAGGAGCCATCGTTTCTCTATTTAAGAGAACTGGTACACACCACAGGGGAAGCTGTGGCATTGCCTGCGTGACCATGGAGAAGACCTGAAGAAATGGGATGGAAAACCTACCTACCTCCTAGAAAAGCGGGTATGTGAGCTGGAAGGAAGAACAAGTACAGAACGTTTGTCCTTTCAGGAGATATGCTGCTCCAATATCCAGTAATCAAGATGAGGCTGAAACCTGTGCACACCACACTAACCCATTTGTTGTTAGCGGGTATTATGACCAACATTAGAGGGACCCTGCCTCCAGCCAGGTGGAGGATGGGGACAACCGAGTTTACTGGACTCTGGATTTGATGGCCTGGCATATCTGACCCCCAGCAGTATAAGGCTCTAGTGGACGCTGATGCGCAATGCACCCTAATGCCATCACATTTTAAAGGAGCAGAACCCATTTGTATTTCAGGAGTGACAGGGGGGTCTCAACAGCTGACTGTATTGGAGGCCGAGGTGAGCCTAAGGGGAAAAACACCCCATTGTGACTGGCACAGATGCTCCATGCATTCTTGGCATAGATTATCTCAGGAGAGGGTATTTTAAGGACCCAAAAGGGTATCAGTGGGTTTTGGTATAGCTGCCTTGGAAACAGAATGAATTAAACAGCTGTCTGGTCTGTCAGAGGATCCTTCTGTTGTGGGATTGCTGAGGGTTAAAGAACAAGTGCCAGCTGCCACTACAACCATGCACCGATGGCAATACCGCACCAATTGAGATGCTGTAATCCTGATCCATAAACTGAATCGCCAGCTAGAGAGCCAAGGAGTCATCAGCAAGATGTGCTCCCCCTTTAACAGCCCCATATGGCCAGGGCGCACATCTAATGGAGAGTGGAGATTGACAGTGGACTATCATGGCCCGAATGAAGTCACGCTACTGCTGAGTGCTGCCGTGCCAGACATGTTGGAACTGCAATATGAACGAGAGTCAAAGGTGGCCAAGTTGTATGCCATGATTGATATTGCCAATGCATTTTTTTCCATCCCTCTGGCAGCAGAATGCAGGCCACAGTTTGCTTTTACCTGGAGGAGTGTCCAGTACACCTGGAATTGACTGCCCCAGGGGTGGAAACACAGCTCCACAATTTGCCATGGACTGGTCCATGCGGCTCTGGAACAAGGTGAAGCCCCAGAACATTTACAATATGTTGATGACATCATTATATGGGGTAATACAGCAGAAGAAATTTTTGAGAAAGGGGAGAGAATAATCCAAATCCTTCTCAGAGCTGGTTTTGTCATAAAGCGTAGTAAAGCCAAGGGACCTGCACAAGAGATCCAGTTTTTAGGAGTAAAATGTCAAGATGGACATCGTCAGATTCCAGTGGAAGTGATTAATAAAATAACAGCTACGTCCCCACCAACTAACAGAAAGGAATCACAAGCTTTCTTTGGTGGTGTGGGTTTCTGGAGACTGCACATTTGAAATTACAGTCAGATTGTAAGCCCTCTCTATCAAGTGACTCGGAAAAACAGTTGTTTTGTATGGGGCCTGGAGCAGCGACAGGCTTTTGAACAAATTAAGCAGGAAATAGTTCATGCAGTAGCCCCTGGGCCAGTTCGGACAGGGCAAGATGTTGAAAATGTGTATCCGGGGAGAATGGCCCTAGCTGGAGTCTCTGGCAGAGAGAACCAGGGGAGACACAGGGTCGACCTCTGGGGTGTTGGGAGTCAGGGATACAGAGGATCAGAAGACTGCTGCACTCCAACTGAAAATGAGATACTGGCAGCATACGAAGGGGTCTGAACTGCTTCAGAGGTGATCAGAACTGAAGCACAGCTCCTCCCGGCACCCTGACTGCCAGTGCTGGGTGTTCAGATGGAGTGTCCCCTCTACACACCATTCAACTGATGCCATGTGAAGTAAATGGGTCACATTAATCACAGAATGGGCTCGAATAGGGAGCCCCAGCTGTTTAGGAAAATTGGAAGTGATCACAAATCGGCCAGAAAGCAAAGATTTTTTGAATGATGCCAGAGGAAAAGGTAGCACGTGCTGAAGAGGCCCCACCATATACTGAGCTACCGGATAATGAGAAGCAATATGCCATGTTTACTGATGGGTCCTGTCACATTGTGGGGAAAAAACTGAAGGTAGAAAGCAGCTGCTGAAGGAGAAGGTGAGTTGAGTCAGTTCGCAGAGGTGAAAGCTGTCCAGTTGGCCTTGGATATCGCTGAGCGAGAAAAGTGGCCAGTGCTCTACCTCTGTACTGACTCATGGATGGTGGCAAATGCGCTGTGGGGGTGCTTACAGCAATGGAAACAGAGCAACTGGCAGCACAGAGGCAAACCTGTCTGGGCTGCGAATTATGGCAAGATATTGCTGCTCGAGTAGAGAATCTGGTTGTGAAAGTACGCCATGTAGACGCTCATGTACCCCAAGAACCGGGCCACTGAATAACATCAGAACAACCAACAGGTGGATCAGGCTGCCAAGATTAAGGTGTCTCAAGTAGATCTGGACTGGCAACATAGGGGTGAACAATTTCTGGCTCGCTGGGCCCATGACGACTCAGGCCATCAGGGAAAAGATACAACATATAGATGAGCTCATGACCTAGGGGTGGACTTAACCATGGATTTTATTGCACAGGCATGGTGGTTTAGGCCCTGCCAGGATCCGAACCACCCCATGGTTGTCCCTCCCCCACCCTCGGACTGGACGGGGCAGGGAGTAAAATATAAACCCCAGGGTTGAAATAAGGAAAAAATTAATACAGCAGTGTAATAAATAATAAACTGAACAACAACAATAATAATAACAGTAATAACAATGAACAGAATAAGAGATATACGGCATGGAGTACAGCAGTGAGGGTACCGACCACGAACACCACGTGTCCCCCCAGCTCTTCCCACGCTTGGCACCCAGATCTGACATCAGCATGGTAGTGAATAGCCCAGCTAGAGCTCCCTCGCCACATTCTAGGGAAACTTAACCTATCCTGGCTGAACCAGGACAACAGGTAATCCATGAATGTGAGACGTGCTGTGATCAAGCAAGCCAAATGGTTAAAGCCCATTTGGTATGAAGGACGATGGTCAAAATATTAATATGGGGAGGCCTGGCAGATTGATTATATCACACTCCCACAAACTCAGCAAGGCAAACACTATGTGCTTACAATGGTGGAAGCAGCCACTGGTTGGTTGGAAACTCATGCCATGTCCCATGCCACTGCCTGGAACACCATTTTAGGCCTTGAGGAGAAAAATCTTATGGCAGCATGGCATGCCAGAAGGAATTGAGTCAGGTAATGGGACACACTTCCAAAACAATCTCATAGACACCTGGGCCAAAGAACATGGCACTGGGTAGATATATCACATTCCCTACCATGCACCAGCCTCTGGAAAAATTGAGTGATACAATACATTGCTGAAAACTACACTGAGAGCAATGGGTGGTAGAAATTTCAAACACTGAGACATGCATTTAGCAAAAGTTAGTCAATACCAGAGGATCTGTCAAGCAAGCTGTCCCTGCTCAGTCAAACCTCCTGCATACCGTGGATGAGGACAAAGCCCCCATAGTGTGCATTAGGAATATGTTGGGGAAGGCCATCTGGGTTACTCCTGCATTGGGTAAAGGTAAACCTGTACGTGGGATTATTTTTGCCCAAGGACCTGGGTGCACTTGGGTGATGCAGAAGGATGGAGAGGTCCAATGTGTGCCTCAGGGAGATTTGATTTTAGGTGAGAATAGCCTATAAACTGGACTATCAAATACCCCTGTTACTGCATTTAGTGCCTTGCAGCATCCCTGTGCCACATCCAAACTCTGCTCCACTGACTGAGCCAACTCCGCCTCATTCCTGAACCTTGTAGACGGTCATAACAGATAGAATCAGAAATTATGCAGCAAACGTTGTGGAAGGATGGACCATAGACTAAGGGAATGATATCTGTGAGACCTGAAAAAAAGAGAGGGGGGTGATTCCTTAAGATGTATTTAGAAACCTGAGCATAACGGCAATGGTATGGAATAAAGAGTGGAGACTGTCCTGGTTTGACCAGGATGGAGTTAATTTTCATTGGAGTATTTCATACCATGTGATGTCATGCGGTGGGCTCTTGCTCTCCTGGGCTTGGGTCTCTCTCGTGTGCTGTCTGCTTGTCGGTCGGTATTGTTGCTGTGGGGGGCGGTCGCCACATTTGTTAAGCGGCTATTGCATTTTACCTGTTTTCTTTTTGAACTCACTATCATTACTGTTGTTCTCTTGTTATATTTAGTAAATTCTTTCTTTTTATGTAACCCACAAATTCTCTCCTTTTGTTCCTCCGCTATCTTATCAGAGAGTGGGGGAGAGGGATGTGAATGGCCGGCCATGGACACATGGGGTCTGGCTGCTGGCTGATTTCAAACCTCCACAGGCCCGCCCGTGGTTACCTGAGCCCCTTGCCGTGCCTGCAGTTCCCTAAGGCAGAAGTGGTTCCCAGCATGCAGTGGCAATGACTCATCTCTGCTTGCTTCTAGATGCAGCTGGGGGCAGTGGTTATCCAGGTTCTTGGCTGGATGTTGGTTTGGAGCAGTTGGGGCATCCTGGAGGTAAGTTCTCAGTGTCCTTATCCTTGAAAGAGTAAACTCTGACAAGGTGGCAAGAGCTTACTGAGGTGCAATTTCCCTTCAGATCCTCTCGAGGTCGATGGATTCCCGACTTCGTCGTCGTTTGCTGTCCTCCCGTCTGAGAGCAGTCCCACAGGTAAGTCAGTGGGAGGAGGGAGCATCTACCTTTTTGTCTTTTTTCTGTGTGAAGTGCAAGTTGCTCCTTCTGTGGCTGATGTGCAGAGAGGGAAGGGGTTGGGCTCAGTGATGTGCCGCAGGGCGCTCTCCCTTGCCAGGCTGTTTTTGCTGGCCCCTGGCAGCCTGAGCTGCTCCCGGTGCTGGCTGCCATGCCAGCAGGCTTGTTGGGAGCCCTTTCTCCCGGCAGCTCCATGCGTGGTTCGTCCGTCCCAGCGTGGTGCCGCTGCAGGCACGCCGTACCTCTTTGCACCGTGCTCCTGAGGGGAAGGGAGAGGGCAGTGCCGTGGGAGTAAGCCGGTCCTTGACTTGCGCTCGCTGCCACTCCGCTCCGAGGAAGTACCTTGAGCAGTGTCACGGGAACTGATCTGTCGTGCGCTTCTTGGCAGTTGTGACCGTAGGCCAACACGATGCAGCTTCCCGGGAAGGGAAGGGGTCGAGCAGAACCTCGCAGCAGCGATGCTGGGTTTCACGCCTTGCAGGTGCTGGCGAACCCTGGAGCTGGTGCAGAGCCTCTTCTGCCAATTGTGGCTTAAGCCAAGTCCCAAGGGCAGCCGCTGCCCCCAGGGTACTGTGAGGGCCCAGCGCTGGTTTGTGTAGACGTCAGCAGGCAGATTTTTCTAAACCTGATCCATGTGTTAGAGCAGTGTGGCCTCTGGAAGGTGCCATCTCCCCGACGGGGAGCGGCTCCATCTGATCCAACTGTCCCGCTTGCTTCCTCAAGAGACAGACCGAGAGGCTGTGCAGGAGGCAGAATACCCAGGAGGTGGCAGCGGCTCCCTGCCAGCCTATGGAGCAGAAGCAGAGGGGATGCGAGCCGCCGCCATGCCAGGTAATTGCTGCCCCGCGGTCAGCCGGCATCCCTCATCGGGATCGCTGTGTGTCAGCAAGAGCAGCCCAGAGCGGGATCCCTCCCGTGAGCTGAGGCCCAGAGCGATGCCCTGACTCCCCGACTGGGCAGGGGCTTCGAGGGAACCGCCCCAGCCCCCTGCATCCTCTGTGCCTCAGCCACGCGCAGCCTTTACCTGTCGTCTCTGCTTTTTGGCAGTGATCGCAAAGCCCGGACAAGGCCACCGTGGCAGAGTGTATGAAGTTTTTCAAACAGACTCGGTACTGAGCATTCCTGCTGGGGTCCCTAAGTGGGAAACATGTCCCGAAACCTGGGAGCGCATGCGGGCAGTGGCCGTGCTGGGGAAAAGGCGGAAGGGGAGAGCAAGGCTCAAGTGTCACTTGAGAAGGACTGTCTCTGTCCCCTCAGGATGTGGGAGCTGGCCTGGGGGCAGGGAGAGTCAGGGGTGGGTGGCTCTGCCTGCTGCAGGATGGCTTTTGTCCGTGTCCCTCGAAGCAGTGACTGGCCAAGCAGCTCTGATCTGTGCTCTCCTGGCCACCGGAGCTTTGTTTGGTGGGACAACCTGTCCCAAAGGGTGGGAGGGTGCTGCAAGCTTAGTGGTGGTTGCCAGACCAACTGATGTCCCAAATTGCTCCTACAGATGCGGTCGGCGAGATAACTCCGAGAATTTCTCCCCCAGGCAGTCACAGTGCTTTCAGACCTAGACAGATGCAGAAGCGCTGCAGGATCAGCGCAGCAGTAGTGGCGGTAGCCGCGCCGATTGCACTGCTGCTCTGCTGTGTCTGGATGGTGTGGCAGTGGAGAAAAGAGTGAGTTGATGATTTCCCCCCCACCCCAGTGCTGCTTGTGCTCCTTGGATGGCTGCTCATGTCGTGCTGGGGAAGAGATTCCCCACGTGCCACCAGCACTCGAGGACCCCAACGCCCTCCTCTCTCCACAGGGCCATCTCTGCAGCCTCTGCACCAGAAATCAGCACCTCCCCCTCGGCCCTGCAGACCCGGACCAGCCACCCTGGCACCCCTGAGAGCGGGGATGAACGCCAGCAACTGCTGCCAGCCTGGTCCCCCCCTACTTCGCGCCCCCCCAGCGCCCCACTGTCCCCACCTCCCTCGCACCCCGCCAGCCTGTTACAGGGTGCTGTCGTGCCATACCACCCACCCAGCACCCCACCGTCCCCACCTCCCTTGCACCCCACCGGCCTGTTACTGGGTGCCGTCATGCCACACAACCCACCCAGCACTCCACCGTCCCCACCTCCCTCTCAACCCCCCAGCCTGTCAGTGGATGTTGTGACACCAATCAAACAACCCAGCACACCACCATCCCCACCTCCCTTGCGCCCCCCCAGCCTGTCACTGGATGATATGGTACCACACAATCCACCCAGCACCCCACCGTCCCCACCTCCCTCACAGCCCCCCCAGCCTGTTACTGGGTGCCGTCACGCCACATGACCCACCCAGCACCCCGCCAACCCTTCCCATCTGATGCTGCATTCTGCCCCCCATCCAGCAGCCCTGAGCCCCAGCCCAAACAGCCCCCGCAAGCCCTGACCACACTCATTGAGGCCTCTAGCAAGGGCACAAGGCGCCCTATTAAGGCCAAACGGCACTTCTATCCCCAAAGAATGTTCCACCACCAATCCTGGGGAAGAGAGTTTTCTCTCTGGCTAAAGAGGGACAGAGTGCTCAGGTAATAACATCAGCAAAACCCCTGTGGCACAAGTGTTGGCAGAGCTCAAGGCCCGGGCACAGGCGTGGATGCCCTTGGTGTTGGCGGGCAGGGGCCAGGCATGGGGCTCCTCCAACTGGTGGCGGGGCACCGAGGGGTGGGCAGAGCATTCCCCTTAGTCCCTCCCAGTCATGTAATAAAGTTTTATTTTAAATCAAGTTTCATTAGTCTCAAAATCTGACCAGTTGCTTGGGTCTGAATAGATTTCATCTTCAGACAGTCAGCAAGCTGTAGCAGTCACAGCAACTACGGCTATTAAACTGCGGCTCCAGGAGAAGCACTGTTTGTGTTCCACGGATGTAACCTCTCACCTGAAATTAGAATAAAAGTCTATCAGAAACATCGTCTGCAGATGTACAGTTCTTCCTTTTTGGAATTTAAAAAGAATACAATCTAGGACCACAGCTCTGCAGCCAACACACAGATCAGTATGAGGCCGTAACATACATCATTCTGGTGAAGTAAGCAATAGAGTGACTCTTTTCAGCTCCCATAACAGTTACTGGCTCAAAGAAGATCACATGCTGCCTAAAGCAGTCATTTGCACTGCTTCTGCTAGTCTTAAATTACATAAAGTCCCTGCACAGGGATTCTTTTCTGATAAACATCACTCGTTACAGCCTATGCCCTGACCTTGAACTGGGCGAAGCCGCCTTAGCAAAAGGCAACTTAAAATACACCTTGTTTTCAGCTGAGCAGCGCGTGGGTTTCTCTAACTGCTGCCGACACAACCTTAAAGTCAACTTTGACATTAATGCAGCTCAAGACAATCTTGAAGTAAAGGTGTCTTAGAATATGGAAATCCAAGTACTTGCCAGAGAGATGTGTGACTCACAGCACCCTTCTTGGCAAGGTCCTCTTGAGAAAAGAGCTGGACAGGAACGCTGCTTGTTTTCCCAGAGCAGCGGCAAAGATGAAGGCGTTCACTGCCAAGCACAACTGCCCTGCAGCTGCCTACCCCAGCCCAGGGCCGAGGCTCCAGCCTGCCCCCAGCTTTCACCACATGCTGGGGCTCCCAAGCTCACAATACCAGCACTAACCCCAACTCCTCACGGTGGTACCCCACGATTTCAGCAGCACGCCCTGTGCTGGGTGCTTCCCGCCTCCTACAGACTCTCTCCGTGAGCAAGTTCCCGCCTCCGTCTCCAGCCCCGCCTGGAGCACCTGCACATCCAGCAGCCCGCTACAGACTCAGGCTGGTTACTTCCAGGGTTTTTTGTTTGAGCAGCAGGGACTGGAGCAGGGGAAGGGGAGCAGCTCGACTGATGCCAATGTCATTGTCCTTCATATTGCTTCCCCTCCCTTCACTCAGCTGCCCCTGCACTGTCATCACCTGCTGCTACACGCTCGACTCATCACCTCTATCCACAGGAGGCTCAGTAAGATTACAGAGTTTCTGACAGGAAAGTTCAGTGTGATTTAAAAATCTTCTCCTCTTCTGTATTCACAGTTCTGGATTGCACTTTGCTTTGGATTAAGAAAGCGCTGAACTTGCTAGAGCCTTGCTCCTAATTTGCATCCAAGAGGAGTGACAGTAGGAGAATCCCAGTGGGCTCTAGTGTGCTGAAGTAGGCTTTGCATGCTTTTCTTGAGCCACCTGTCAGCTTAAAAGCTCTAAAATTTTCCTAAACTACCAAGGGGGCGGGGGGGGAAGTCTCAGGAATGTACATCATCTTGCTTAGTAGCACACAGTGGAACATCATAAGCCTCTGAAGCTATTCTCCAACCTGTAAAAGAGAACAAAACAGTTCAGGTGACAGGTACGATTTCTATTTGTTACTCTGCTGAAGGAACAAAATGCATATTGGTGGAAATAGCAAAAGCCCTGTTTCCTCCCAGTGTGCTCCTACAAGACAAACCCTTTATTCTCCCGGTTATTTTGTCCACTTTACAGCAGAGAAGAAACCACCTAAAGCTGAAAGTGGGTTTGTGGAAGGAATAGCTCCTCCACTAACTGTGCTTTACTGACACCTACGATACGCAGCGTGGAGATAAACGGATACCTCTACCTGAGGTATACAATACTGCAGTGCATCCTTCTGTGAAAAGATCATCTGGCAATTGTAAATTTGTTATGGGAAAACACTATTTTACTCTGGGGCTTAAATCCAGCTTTAGAAATTCAACGAATAAAATCATAACAGACAATTCAAAGCTGTGAATTAGAAACCAGTGTGAAGATTAAGACTAAACAGATTAGAGGGGTTTGGCTTAGTTTTTGTTTTTATGGTGTTTTGGTTTTGCTTTGTTTTTTTATTTTGTGCCAAATGACTTCACCTGCACTGAAAATAGGCACTGACCAAGAAAGCAAAAACTCTTTCATTAGAATGTAACGCTTGCCAGCTAAAGTCCTGGCACCTTCTTCAGAGTCCCCTGCTTATGCCCAAACACTTAAAATTTAATACCTCTCTTTGGATGTGCTAGTCCGTTTAGCAGCAATACACTGGAGTAAGTGTAAATCACACCAGAATACTTGTTTGAACTGGCAAATTTCACACAGAGGAGAAAAGGAGTACCAGCAGGCTCACAACGCTACACAGACTTACAGATGGGCTTTAACTCCAAGCACGAGCAGTACCAAAGGCCACGGGCCTAGACAGGGATGTGAGTCCGCTAGGTGCGTGTGCCCCTGGCATTCTTCACACAACACCCTAAAATGAATAGGTTATTGGTGACAATCAGTGGTATTAATCTAGCGTCTCAAACGGAAACGCCAATATTTTTTACAAAACCTATATCTCCTTTACACAGAATTGCTTTAACACAAAGTCTTCTGGTTTTGCATAATTATACCATGAAATCTTACTCTTGTGACACATTTTCAATCAGGTTTTGATTTTGACTTGTTTTTCTAACCATGCTGTTACAGCTGGAATACAAATATCCAGAAACCACGGCTTGAAAGGAATTAAAAGTCACTACTGCCCACTCATGCACTGAACGAAGCATGTCTCCTCCGGAAAGGTAGAGTATGTGATCATAATTAAGAATTTCTAACATGAAGGCAGAACCAGAGTAACGCAAATCCTAGCATCCTCCTGTACAACATTAGGATTAAACCACCTGCGCCTAAGTGGTGCGTGCGCTACAGCACCATACAAAGCTGGCAAAAACCTCCGTGAAAGTAGAGAACATCTTGTAGTAAGGAAAACGACTAGACTAAAACGTTATCAGGTTTTCACAAATCCTTTTGGAATACACATCTGTCAGTACACTGGCAGATGAAACAGGTGTGCGAGCACACGCTTTGGTTTGGCAACAGCTTCAAACAGTACGCAGGCCTCTGCGGTGCACCTCTCAAAGGAAAACTGTCATTTTGGTTATTTCTTCCCACCTCAAACAGGAATATAATCTTACTGAGGAACAGACCAGTGTGTATTCATTCACCTGGGTTGTGTCTCTTAGGAACATGCTACTAGTAAGTGGCGGGCTAAGGTTTTCTGCACAGAGTTTGCATGTTAACGGAACAGTTACACAAATTCGGCAAATAATGCAGTTAGTGCACGAGAACGTTTTCGAGAATGCTGTGCTACATTATGAATTGGCAACAGAACTAAACATCTATTGCCCTTTCTGTGTCCTGGGAGCCTTTCGCCGTTTTGCAGACAAGCTGATGTTTCCCCTGCTGACAAAGGAGGAAAACGCAGAAGGCATTTTCAAAGGGAAAGGGACACAGGGCTACTGCTTGCTAGGAGCAGTAGAAAAACAAAGTGATTTGATGTTTTATCTGAACTTCCTTTTGCCAAGTCTCCTTAGTAGGCAAAAGAACTTCCCGGCATGACCTCTAGGAATGGAGGTTGCATTTAAGACCTACAAAGCATCACTTGTTGGGAAACTCAGTGAAGAAAGTCACACCTTGACATTACAGATATCATCGTACAGCTATTTAGCAGGTCCTTCTTCACAAAGCCAGATGTGACAAGGCAAAAAAATACTATCAAATCTCTTGGCCCACGCTGACTACGCTGGAAAGGCTGCAGCAAGTTTGAACACGCGCTGTAAATAATACCTTGGGTAAATTCAGGCTATATAACGCCCGAGCGTTGCTGTGAACAGAACACGTCAGATGTGACAACAGGAGCCACGTCAGTAAATAACTGCTCTGGGGAACCCCCTGGCAGCTGGGGATGCTTATACCTGCTTGGAGAACCAAGGAAGAGGATGCCCTGTTCCCAAAAGACTGCTTAAGTTAGTTAAAGAAATAGTAGTGCTTTTGCAGGGACAGATTCACTTCCTCCAAAATTCTCTCATGGATTAAATTTGATGCATTTTTACAACTAAGCATCAGTCCTGTACTAGTTCTAGGTATGTTGTTAACGGAAACCGTTTTTCCGTCCCAGTTAAGACTCGCATTGAAGTCACAAAACTGTCTGCCCAAAGTACTACAGTTAGAGGGGAGCATAAACAACGTAGAAGAGGCAAACCTATAAATGAGGATTATCATAACCTTGGGTTTCCACACCTATGTAATAAATGTGATGATGATTCGTGTTATGAAATATATTGACCCTTAATATAAATGTATATGTTGTAAATATTTTATGATGTGTGTATATATATATATATATATATATACACATGTTAAAAGGAAAACTAATGTGATTTTTGTCTTTAAATCATTTCAAGGCTTTGCAATCTCAGACTATGTAATGACTATGTTGGTGTTTTGACTGTGTTGTTACTGCACCTAGCAGAAAAGTACCAGGCAGACCCTTGTATCAGACAGACAGTTGTTCTGATGGAAATGTACCAGAAGGACCCTCATTCTGGGGGGAAGAGGAGGAGTGGAAAAACAGAGAAACCCCCGCAACAACACCACAGAATCTGAGAAGATTCGAGAAACTCCACTAAGCTTGCGCGGACTAACACACCACACCCATCTTATGAATATGTATCAGCAAAGAGTATAAAGGGGGTGGGTTCCTTTACAAGGTGTGCGTCGGTGGTGGAGAGGAGACTGCCCGGCGTACCCCATGCCGTTTTGCTTATTCTTATTTCAATAGAATTATAAAGATTTCTTTGGATTTTGGCTGCTAAATTTACAACGTGTACAAGAAAGTAACAATAAAAACGTAATTCGATTGTGTAAAGTCCTTCTGGAAAACCGACTGCGCTGTGCCATAAGCACGCTGCTGCTTGCCCGGCACGGATTCTACGCTGTGCTAGCAACAGTCCTGAAGCATAACGCAAGTGCTCGGTTTCGATCACTCCAGCGTATACTGACGAGCGTTCAAGTTCAGTTTTGAGCCACCCAGCCCCTCACCCTGCTGTTTACCGACAGCACGTTTAGCTGCCAAAGGAGGGACCTTTCAAGGGGCATTTTCGCCAACCTCTGCCTCCTCGTTCCCGAGCTTCGCCGTTCCTACGCCGCAGCGTGTTCTGCCGGCCCATCCCGTCTCTAACGCCCTCCCGCAGCCGCCTGCGGTCCTGCCCGCCGCCTCTACCAGCCCACCCGGCCACAAGCCCCTTCGGCCACCGCTCCCCGCCGCAGTCAGTGCTCCTCGGTGCCCCGCCGGCAGCGACACCCGCGCTCCCG